GTTAGTTTCCCTCCATTGTTCTTGCATTCTCTAACATTAATAGACTTCTTACGACTACTTGTTGCAGGTGTGGACTATTCTACCGTCGTGAGTATGATGTTGGTTGATGAAGTTGTGAAGCCCCACAGTGAGAAGAAGAGGAAAGAGACAGGGAGAGGGTGAGCAAAGTTGCTCGTACTACAGGGAAGCCGGGTGCTAAACCCGTAGAGAGAGACGTGGGTGGGCAAGCCGCCACGGTCGGACAAGGCGGTCGTCGATAGTTCTTCTGGACAAGGAGCGGGTATTATATAGACGCTGACTGATATGCCTAGGTTCGACGTGATCGTTGCCACGCATTTTCGGGATGTGCGGCTGCGCTCGGAGCCACTTCTTCCCTTAGTGCTGCGTAGAGTGCTTTGCACACTATGAGCCAAGTTTTGAACACTCCTTTGCGGATGGAGAACACCGCCCGCTCCAATACATTGCGCAAATCCACTTTGTTGTAAGTGCTTTATTATCTATTGCGGATTTTGTTGTTTTGTAGTTTTTTCTTCTAAGGTATTTGGCGAGTTACTTGTGTAGGGTTTGTTGGCCACCTTCCGTGCTCAGCAAGAGAGGGCCAACGATATCGTCGCTTTGAAGGCGGAGTTGGATAAAAGTGTCCAGCTTGAGGTGAAAGTGTCGGGTGATGAGGGTCGCGCGGAGGATGCCACAAAGAAGGCTAGTGAGGCAATGGAACGGCTGGGGTTGCTGCAGAGAAAGCTGACCAAAGAAATCAAGGGGGCGAAGGAAAGGGCTCGGGCAGAGGAGATGGATGCCATCCGCGAGGAACTGAAAAAGGAATTTGATGTCGAGCTTTAACAGGCAGCAGATGAGCATTCTTTGGAAAAGCATCGTCTAGAGACTGATCATGCTATGATGTTAGGCAACCTCCGTAAGCAATTCTGCCGCAAGAAAGAGGACCTCATTCGTGTGCATGATATTGCTAAGGTGGATGCAGTTCGTGATGCTCAAGCGGCCGCTATCCATCAGTACAAAACTAGCACTGCCTTTCATCAGGTGTTGGCGGATTGTATGACGAAGGCGGTGATTGCTGTTTGCTAAAAGGTGCGGCCGGAGAACCCCGGGGTTCGTTGGAATACTAAGGCCATGATCAAACATATTCATAGGTGGCTAGGTGGGAAGCGGTCATTGGAGGCGGATTCTGAACCGGAGGACGAGGAGGAGGAGAAGGGAGGTGCGAGTACGCCGGAGAAGGTTGTGATAGATTAAGGAGAACTTTCTAAGTGTCCTCCTTTTTCTGCCATTTTGTTGTTGTTCTCCTTGCTATTAAATCCAAAGAATTAATATTTTCGCGCGATTCTTGATCGTCGTTGTTACTTCCAATTATCATTGCTCGTTTTTCTTTTGTGCAATTCATGATTGTGTGGTTTAATCGTAATTTATTACTGCTTTTGCGCAATTCATGATTGCGCGATTCCGTTGTGCTTCATTATTTGCGCACATCTGAACGAATCTGTGTTGCGCTTGAAAAGTAACGGACACGCTTTGTCATTAATTGTTAAGGTAGAGTTACATAGTACATCAAAAAGCAGGATAGTATAAGGTTTTGTGTGTTCCACGTCCTTGGCACTTTGGCTCCGCTTAGATCTTTTAGTTTAAAAATAATAGCGTTGATGACTTCACGGACGAGGTAGGGTCCCTCCCAAGTGGCCGCCAGCTTTCCGTGTTTTAAGTTAGGACAGAAGTTCCACCTCAAGAATTGGTCTCCTAGTGCGAAATTGTGGGGGACTAGTTTCGCGTTGTAGTATTTTGCTACTTGATATTTTTTCGTTGCTAGTTTGATGGACGCCAGTTCGCGGGGCTCATTTGCCAACTCAAGCTTCATTAAGCGCGCCTCGTCATTACTTTCTTTGTTGAACGTTGTGATTCGATATGTGGGCGTTGATGTCTGAATGGGTATGACAGCATCCGTGCCATAAGTTAGCGTGAATATGGTTTCGCCTCTGGCTATTTTGAAACTAGTGTGGTGTGCCCATAGCACCGTGTGCAACTCTTCCGCCCAATCGCCTTTTGCGTTCCTGAGACGGGTGTGCAGTTCGTGTAGGGTTGCTATTCGCGGACTATGCCTGAATGTTGGCTTGAGGATAGGCTACAGAGGCAAAGTGGGATATTGTTCCCATCTGGACACAGAAGTTGATCACCTCTGTGCAATCAAATTGTTTCCCGTGATCGAAAATCAGAGAGTTTGTGACTCCGAAGCGCATTAGTAGATTGTTCTTTAGGAAGCGGATTACTTGTTGCGAGGTGATTGACGGTAATGCTTCCGCTTCGATCCACTTGGTAAGTAATCTACCGCTACAATGATGTACTTGCGCTTGCCTTTTGCTGTTGGAAAGGGACCCAAAAGGTCCACAACCATTGCGCGAACGACCATGGACTTAAGTTCCCTTGAAGCTCAGTTGATGGGAAATGGCGTTACCGCGCGTTCAGTTGGCAGTAGTGGCACTGGTCCATGAATTTCTTTGTGTCTTTCTTGATTTTGGACCAGTAATATCCATGCAGCACGATGGTGCGTTCCATGCTACACGCCCCACTATGCATTGAGCATAAACCTTCGTGCAAGTCCTACACAATTTTGCGCGCTTCCGTTTGTCCGACACATTTGAGGTACGCGTCGGAGTGTGCTCGCCGGTGTAACCCACCCCCGATGAGGTTTCAACGACCGCTTTTTGCCTTAGGGCCCATGCTTCTTTTGCGTCTTCTGGCACTGTTCCGTTGAGCAAGTATTCTACGATCGGCGCTCGCTAGTCGTCCTCTGTTGCGATTTGTGTGTTGTTGAACATTGCGAGTTGTTGAGTTTCTTGATCCTCCTTTTGTACTAAGACTAACCTCGTTGATTCAAAATCGGTGGCAGTCGCGAGTTTTGATAATGCGTCCGCGTGAACATTTTCTTCCCTTGGTATTTGGACGTATGTCACCGTTTAGAAGATGTTTGCTCGCTGCTTGACTCACTCAATGTACTGTGCGAGTATGTCCTCCTTTGTGTCAAAGACGCCGTTTAGTTGGTTGACTGCCAACGCGGAATCAGACACTACTCTTATCGTTTTCGCGCCCAAGTCTCTTGCTACCGCTAGTCCTGCGAGGATTGCTTCGTACTCGGTGGCGTTGTTTGTTTCCAATCTAAATTTCCCGGCCTGGTCGAGGATGGGTTAATTGCATGGTTGGTCACTGAAATTACAAAAAACGTTCAAGTTTGGCCACTCGAAATATTTAAATCCATTGATGGTACTTCAGTTTACTGAAACCGTTCACGTTTGGTCACTCTCCGTCCAACTCAGTTAACTTTGGCTGATGTGGCAGTCAACTCTCAAAGTTGACCATCAACTTAGTGACGTGGCAATTAAAAATAATAAATAAAATAAAATTTAATCTATTTTAATGGCCAACTCATTTTTACCATACTACTCATCGGCGCACGGCAGATTCTCAACGACGTCGATCGGCCGATCAATCACCGAGTGCACATCGTGCGGCCGCGTGGTGGAAGAGCGTCAGTTTCAACCGCACCATCTCTTCCACGTTTGAGCTCAAGACTATCCTCTCTGCCTCGTCACCTCCGACCTTCCCTCCCTCTACTACCAAGCGGCGACGGCGACGGAGCGAGGGGATGAAATAGGAGAAGCCGAAGAGGATCCGTTCGAGCCGACGGGATTCATCACCGCCTTCCCCACCTGGTCTCTCGAGCCCGTCCCGATCTCCCTTTGCTATTCTCTCTCCTTCTCCGGCCACCTTGTCGAGTTCGAGCGGATCCTCGAATTGACGACCGACTCCTCCGTCGCGCCGCCATCGCCGCTTCCGCCTACATCCTCGTCGACTGTCGTGGTAGACAATTGGAGAGCGTATATGCAGATTATCGATGTAGCTTCGATTCTAGGGTTGGATTCCGCTATCTCCGATCACGCGTTCATTGGGGTAAAAATAGGAGCTTTTGTTAATGTTGTTTAATCGTTTGTGACTTTGGATGGCGATTCAATCTTTCATAAGATTAATTGTTCAGTAAGATTTGGAAATTTAGTTACAATAGCCAAATCATTGATTCGACATTAGGTGACAGCTGGTGTGAAGGTTGAATCAAACTGCAGTTCGTGGTTTTGATTACGTTCTTTAGTGTCTATGATTCTTTATATAGACATTCATTACGTTGATAGATTTCCTTTTTTTCTCTCTTATTAAGCAAGCTTTTTACGGATTGTTGCTCTGCTACTTGTTTAAGAAATCGCAGCGCCGAAGCCCTTGTCACCGCCCTTTGTTCAGGCCATTAGCGAGGCTCAGGAGCCCAGAATTCAGATAAAAGATTGATTGAACCCTTCTCAGGTAAAAGTTATTTTAGGGTAAAAATGAGTTGGCATTAAAATAAATTAAATTAAATTTTATTTATTTATTTTTTAATTGCCACGTCACTAAGTTAACGGTCAACTTTGAGAGTTGACTGCCACATCAGCTAAAGTTAACGGAGTTGGACTGAGAGTAACCAAACGTGAACAGTTTCATTAAACTGAAGTACCACCAATGAATTTAAATATTTTGAGTGACCAAACTTGAACGTTTTTTGTAATCTCAGTGACCGTCATGCAATTAACCCGGTCCAGGCTAGTGCTAAATAGGCTAGTGCTAAATGAATGGAATACAAAATCAATAAGATAAATGGGATAGTATCACGATTCAGGAATACTTCAATATCTTCTGAAACGGGAATACACCTGTTACATAACAAAATCATGCCACAAAAAAACTATAGCATAAAATATCACATATTATCGGAATGGTCACATGAACACAAGTACGAGTACAGTCCTTATTTGGTATATATTTCCAGTACATAAATGAAATAGATACGCAAACAATTGAACTGTACCTATACACGTAGCTTTCCTCGAGTGAAATTTACAGCTCCACGAATACAATCCGTGTTTGGGACTTTGGGTCTGCAGAACGGGGGTCATTCTCATTTGCCTATGTTAGTGGTTCACAGTGGCAATCTGCTCCAATGGAGGCCAAGCAACATGGTTATCGTCCAAATATCCATGGATGAAGAAATCGACACAGTTCTTTCTGCAGCCATGACTGTATGGATTCTGAAACTTCCCATCTGGTCCTCGCAGATACCAGTAACGCTTGGCATTTGCTATTTCATTCGTGGTTATGTTTCGCGCTATCTGTATAAACAAAAGAGCCATACAAACATTAATACTTGAGGCCAAGTTACTCAGCATCACGAACATGGACAATTGGTTCCGACAAACTAATTACCTGCAACGCCTGTGCTATGGTTAAAGTCAGAGCAGCAAGCAGAATAAAGCTGTCTAAAACCATAAATGCAATAATCCCAGGATGTTGGAACACCAGAAACCGAAGCCAGTTTGCATCTACATGAAAAAATTGCAGCGCAGTCCAGACTCCTGTTGGCATTGGCGAAAGAGAGATAAGGGGTGACATGGCTGAAGTTTCACAGAACCCGAAGAGAACTTGAGGTGAATAAGAACATAGATAAGTATAAGGAAGCAAGAGCAACTTACTGTAAAGTGTAACAGCACCACCGACTAATGATGTCAAGAACCCTAAGAGTACGAAAATGAAGAAATCTCGTTTGTTTCTCTGTAAGAGAGAAGCAAAGATATCATCAGAAAAATGTCAAGGGCCGATAAGACAGAATAAGCTGCAATATTTCATAACACACTATTGAACAGACAATAGGATGCCAAGACTCAGACCTTGCCCACACAATTAGATATCCACGGGCAGTGATGGTCAAATTGTTCCACGCAGCGGTTACATGTGGAACAGTGCTTGGATCGAACAGGTCTAATTATCTGAATGGAAGAGTACATAAAAAAAAAAAAAAAAAAATAGAACTCAGCCAGGTAGCATCATTATTTTTAAGTATGGGAACTAATTACGATAGGATAGAAAGTTTTTCACTTTCTACTTTAAACTTGTTCATCTATCAGACCTTGCATGTTGGACAAAGCTGAGACCAGTCTCCAATCCATACAGAAGAGTTGTTGAAATCAAAATTTAAGAGTGGATCCTGAAAAGGGATACAAAAGTAAAAAGCATATCATAGAGGACCAATAATAGTGGCGCCAGAAAATTGATATAGCGATGAATGTGCGCAACAATGAACAGGTAATAGACGACGAGTGAACTTCAGGATACAGCTTCGTAAAACTAAAGTACTACAATAAAGAAAACTAACTTATAAGTGAAAACCAAGCAAGGTCAATGAACTCGAGGAGTTGCGATACATTTAAGTACCAAACTCATTTTTAGCATCTCCAATCCAGCTCTAAAAAATGCATGTTTGGCCTTTTACGAGAACCCATTCAAAATCGGGAGCTAAATTTACAGTTGGGAGTCTTTGGGAGCTAAATTTGGGAGGAAAGAAGAGCGGGAAGGCAAATTTGACAGGGGAAAGTGGTGTGCGCAGGTCTGTTCTTTTTTTTTTTTTTTTTTTTTATGGGAGGCATCTCTGTTTATTGTGGGAATGAGTAGTGGAGCCAAACGAGCGCATAACATCCCCCTGTGGTGCTCGCTTCAGACCTTTTTTTTCCTCTGTTTGAGGTGTGTTTGAATGTTTCTCTAATTAAAATAGATGAAAGGGATACTAATCAAATTAATCATAAATAGATAGGTTTTTTCTCTTAATATATAAATTAACAATCACAAAAATGTTTAAAAAGTAACTAACGGTTATTTCTTTGAAGAAAACAATTTACCTCCGAATAAAAAAAAATTACATCGTAAACTTTGTTTTCAAAAATAATGATTACCTATAAAAAGAAAGTGAAAAACATAAATTAACATGCATATAGGTACGGGTTATATTAAAGATACAAAATAAAATAACAAACCTAAAAAGATAAATTTTAGAGGTTATGGTTTCGAGTACAAACTTGATTTCAAGATGTAAAAGTTGACATTTAGTTCCCAAGAGGGTTAATTTTGTCCCTTTGTATTTGAGATAGTCTAAACTCTAAAGCACTGAACTAGATGATTTGTTATTTGGGGCACGTTAGGCACTTCGCCCATTTTTCCTAAAAAAATGGAAAGGTAAAAAAAAAAAAATTCTTACTTTTCATTATCTTTTGGTTCTCGGAAGTTTTAAACTGTATCAATGAAAAAGTGTTTTAAACTGGTCATTCTTCTCCAAAGCACTATAGAAAACAAAGAAGCGTAATAGAACTCTAATTTCAAGTCAAATTTGACTAGTCTTGTCCGGTTAGATACCGAAGTCCATGCTTTGCTAAAATTTGTTCATATCAGCCAATAAAATGTCGAAGTACTGGGGAAAAAAAAGAGTAGGAAGTGAAGTCCAAAATTTAGTCAACCAAAAGCTAGAAGTTAGCGAAAGAGAGATATAAAACTAGAAGTCAGAGAAAATGATTTCATAATTTGAAGACGTTATTTGAGAGTACACTTGAATTTGCTGCTACTTCTCTATTCGCTTTCGAATTTGAGAGGTCCGATAAAATTCGACAAGCTTGCAATTTTTCTTCTTCATAAGAGATGAGTATTTCTTGATTAGGAGAATAGTGACAAAAATTGGTATCAAAGTCTAGATTAAGGAGAAAATATCTTTTTGACAGTTTTGCCAAAAAAAGACTGATATGGAGTCGGGTTAGACAAATTGTCAATAAATAGAAGTTGAAAGTTAACTTGACCAAATATTCTACGTATATCTCGTGCCTAAGCTGACCTAACCGAATTTAGTCCTTCAACCAACTATATTAAACAGAGTTTAGTGCCTAGTATGTCCACCCATATAATTGAGTACAATAACAATATTGATTATTAACTCCCCAAAGCATACACTGGGTCTACTAGGTAAATTCTTAATAGCAAGAAAAGAGGAAAAGCAAAATGCAGATCATAAATCCATATATAGGTTTATCCATCAAAAGACCATTCACTAGAGTAGATTACCTCTGTATTAGCATGTTTATCCAAATCCTCCTGTCTTTTGATATAACCAGGATCTTTACTGCAGGAATATACAAGTCAATAATAAAGTCAGTAATTTCCATGATTTCCCAAAACATAAGTACACACGACAGGACAATATCGAAATTTCTATACAGAACCAAGTCAGACTTAGAATGATGCTGTAGGATTAGCAATTTCCAACTGGAAATGCTTTGGTTTTCAACAATGGTATTGTCACAATTTCGTGACATGATTTACCAAAAGAATATGATTCCTATTAAGATCACCTGCAAACCTGGCCATGAAATCCCTTAGGACAGTAAACTAAAGGAGCCCTACTGTTACTCTTAACTTGTAACACAAAGGAAGGGGGAGAAATGCAGCTAAGTAAAACCCACACTTGGTTGAAAGTCCCGAATCCAGATTTACCTACTACAACGGCGAAACATGATCAGTGCCAGAACAGCTAGAGAGAGTGCAATCATTGCCCAAATCCCAATAGCAGCTGTTATCTTTGGGAAACTTGGAGCTAGCAATAGAGTAAGGAGGAGATCAAGATTAACAAAGGAATATATCTCCCGAGGAGGCAAAATTCCAAAGCAAAGATATTATATACCTGCAATGACCGAATTAACGAAAAGAAAGACACAAGTGAGGATCATGGACAACAATAATGGAGCAAATCCAATGTCCCTCATCTTCCGACCACACAATTTCTTTCCCAAACTATTGCTTTGTGTCAGCTGTGCATTAGACTGCACCAAATCAAACCACTGTTAGTGTCTGCATAATCATTGCAAATAAAAGGTGAGTCCTAATGCAATGACACACTAAAAACTAGTCATCCAACTGAGAGGTAAAAACAAAGCCACAGTGAAACTCCTGCATCCATGATCTTGCATAATATAACAGACTAAAGCTAGCAGTGCTTCTATTTTTACCTCTTTATATATTTTTTCTACATGTGTCGTCGCCCTATAATTGCATGTTCTCCTGGTCAAGAAGACAAAAAAAATTCCCTCAAGTCACTAGCAAGGAAGAGAGGTCATGAGAAGAACCCTAGCATAAGGTGATACTATGTAAGGACCATGGATCCAGCTCCTAACAAAACAGCTATTTGCAATATGTCTGGGTTAAATTCCTAGGAAGCTAATGAAACTTAAAGGTTAAATTGCAAGCATACTTTGTCGCTCGAAATTTTGAAGAAACAAGAATAAGGCCAAGAGAATGCCGAAGAGGACAGCCGACACACTTCAACATAAGACTAACATTCTCGGCAAATTGCACCTAACAACTCAACCCGATATCTCAGAACTTAGATCCTAACGTGTGCTCAGTGTGAAGTACCACTGATTTTTCTGACTTAATCTTCTGCATATATTGAGAGAAGAAGAATTATACAAATTACATACAAGGAAATGGGCAACTTGCAGATGACCCTTGTCAGATGCAAGCTCGGCAGGAGTAAATCCGGCCTTATCTTTCACAGCTAGCTCTTTCTTTGTGCCGGCATGCACAAGTACAGAAGATGCCTCCGCATGCCCTGTTAGTGCAGCCCAATGTAAAGGGGTGCAGCCTGAAAGCATTAGAACAGGACACTGTGATCAGGATTTTTAAGTCGGCTCCACAAATACCATTATCTCCGAGTAAAGGTAGATTTGACCCGCAGTAGAAAGGTAATAGATTGATATTAAGGAATTCAAATTCATGAAATGCTGACTTCTGACCGTACCTTCTTTATCTTGTCTTCCTTGGCTAGCTTCTCGAAAGAGAAGTAATCTGATTGTGTCTACATAGCCCTTGTATGCAGCCCTTTTCAAAAAATAAAAATAAAAAGAGGTATTAGAGTGTTCTTCCTTAAGCATACACAAAGTTGTCAGCCAAATATAGTGTTCATATCATCCTATAACAAGAAACCGCCAAAGAATCTAATAAGAAATATATTACTGGAATGTGTATTGGTTGACAATTAAACTCCAGCAAACAACAATAGCACAAAGAAAAGTGAGCTGTTTTATCTCAAATGATAAAGGACCAACACCTTAGAGATGATTTCCTGAAAAGTATAACAGATAACAAATTTCACATACCAATGAAGAGGGCTCCTGCCATCGCTATCGGGTGCATCAAAATCAGCAAGATACTTCGCGACAATGTGATTTAGGAAAGCAGTTTGTCCATATTGAGCAGCAACATGAACTGCCTGAGCAGACAAATTTACATACAAGCAACAAACGATGAGGCTAGCGTTAACCTGTCCAGGTAGAAGAAAAGGTAACAGACAGCTTAAACAAGGAAATTGAAGCTTTTGCTGTCTGACTCTACAAAAGTTCTTGTCGATCACATGCAACAACTCCAAACAGGACAAAAGTTCCAAAATACAGACCTTGCGAATTGTGAGACATTAAGAATCATAACCATAAGTAAGATTTAACGGGAAGATAAAGCTCCTTGAGAAACTAGTTTTATGTTATTACTCATGAAGAGTGGCTTTATGGAAAACCAGCCAGCAAAGCTAACTCTCACAAAGACATGTTGATCTGAAGCACACATAACGTATATTCTTCAGTGATCAAGAAATCTTAGTTTAACTAGAACACATAAAACCGATTCCGAGCTAGCAACCTTACCTCCCGCTGACATGGTCACAACTAACCACAATAGCTTCCCCACTGCCAGTACAAGTGAATACTGAATACCATAATAACTTCCAAAGAAGCATACTTGCTAACATATTGCTATAGCCACTGGAAACGTTCTTAAGAAGTACATGCATGGTCTAAGTAGAAGACGAAGTGCTTACGCGGTAACCATTCACATCAGCTGCCTCAACCCGAGCTCCACTTTGAATAAGCAAATCTGCTACAGCAATCGAGCCCCTAACTGCTGCCCAGTGCAAAGCCGTCTGCTGTGAGTTGTCAGCAGCATTGACATCACCCCCATGCTTCACCAACAATTCAAAATCCCCCCTTAGCTCCAATCAAGTCATTAAATAAAGCATCCAACAACAGACAGAAAGGTACCTCGATAATGAACAGAGCAATGTGAGTGAAGTTTCCGAGAGCAGCCCACTGAAGAGGATAGTAGCCGTTGCCGTCGGGTATGGAGACGGAGGCGCCCTCTTGTTCGACATAGAAGCGCAGTTTCTCGAAATCTCCGTAAGCCGAAGCGGAATGAACATTCGCCACGTTCGATGCTGATGCCGGCGCCGTCCCGTTCGGAGCACCGTGCTGTCTCTCGTTCTGCACCTGCTGTCTAAGGACAGTGGATTCCGTCGGCGATACGACCTCGATCTCTGAAGAAGCCATGGACGTGGATCAAATAATAAAAAAGCCGGCCTGTCACTCGGGCACGATTAGATCAAACAGGGATGATTTTTCTTTCTTTCTTTGTTTCGATAGATGATATTTCGAAGTAACTGCTGCGATTGGAGGTTTAGGGTTTACGCTACGACCAGAATTGAATGCGTTAACACGGCAGGGCTATAGCTGCTGGTCTTTGTCGATTCCCAGTTCAGTCTGCAGTCGCTCCCTCTTCTTTCGCGTCTTTCTCGGAAGTGGGGATATTTTGGACTTTAGGTAAGCAGCACTCTCTGGCAGCCCTCGGAACAACATCCAAGCTGCCAATCACGGCTTCCAGCTGCTGTCTGTATCGCCGCAATTTTTATTTCTTTTATTGAAACCTGTTATGAACAATTAGATAAATAAAAACTAGAGGATAAAAAAAAGGATAAAAAAAAATCTGAATAGCTAAATGTTGTTTACACCTGTTATAAAAGCCGAAAGCCAAAACCCAATCACCTTTTAGGCCTGTTTACTTTCATTTCTGTTTCCTGTTTTTGAGAAAACAGATGTTGAAAACAGGTGAAAACAACATTTTGTCGTTTCCAAAAACAGCAGGAAGTTGCCACTTTTTGTTTTCATAGTTGGAAACGAATAGAAAACAGAATGAAAAGTAAACAAGTTTTCTCATTTCGGTTGTCAAATTTATCACATGAAAACAGAAAACAGGAAACGAAAATGGAAGTGAACAGGGTTTTGCGGGAGGGTAAATTTGGTAGGCAGCATTTTTGGTAGGGGTTGGCAATGGGAAACGTGTATTTGGGTATATCCATACACGTCTTGTTTTTAAGGGTTACGCGTACTCAAATACCCGTAATTTTTTTTACGAAATGAGACTTGGGATCTAAAATTTCTACAACGGGTACCTGGAATACCCGTTTGTGTCACTTCTCTTTTTTTTTACTCGTCTGCAATAGTGTGTGCAGTACAGTTTTGGTTCATTAGTGAGAATGGAAAGAATTAATCTACTGATTAAATGGCTGCTTTCCACTAATTAATAACCTGACAAGCATGATAATTAATGTTCTTTTCCCCTGTTAAATTTTGGGTTTGGTTTTGTATGAAAAGGAAATTGTTTTGTCTGTTTATGTAATGGAAGATTGGATTAGTGTATGCGGCAGAGAGGTAGAATAGAAGGAAGGCTTTTTTATTTTATTTTATTATTATTTTGGTGTATTATGTTTCTTAATTCACACAACAAGTTTGGATGATTTTCTTATTATTATTTTTTTTAATTATGGATACCAGCGGGTACTCGTTATCCGTCCCGTACGGATAATGGGTACCCGTTAGCCCGTATGAGTTTAGGACATGCAGTTTACTCTCCAAATGGGATTGGGTACCCGTTTCAAACGGGACGGGTACCCAATCTCATCCCGTTGCCCGCCCCTAATTTTTGGCTGACAGTGAAAAAGGCTGGCCGCCTTGCCCTTATGCTTCACTGGGCTGACGTGATTTTCCTAGCCCAAAAGATTGAACAAAGCCGACTTTCCTCAACCATTGCAGCGTTGCAGAGCACATTCAGAGACGGTACAGAATCGATAGAGAAGAGGGTCGCCTGTGTTCTGACTTCTCGCGAGGAACTAAATTCCGGCGGAACTTTCTGAACCAAGAAGCGATGCAGATCCAATTCAAAGAGGTCTAGAGAGAGAGACGAGAACCCAAAAGGCTGGGGTTTTTTTTTTACGTTTCGCCTTCTCTCGAGAAACTGGATTTGGGTGTGCCGCTCCGTCTGCTGCTTCATTCTTGCAAGGTCTGCGAACCAATTTTCCAAAGATTTTTGTTTTATTAGGCCTTGCTTAATCAGAGCCTGTTCAAAACTGCTGCTGCTTGGTCTATCGGCCAAACCATAAGAAGCGATTACCTCCTCATGGACCAGTCTTTGCCGTTCACGATTATGGTGGGCAAATAGTCACCAATTCTGGTAAGTGTTTTGGTTTGTCTCCTGTTTTTACTTTGTTAGTGTGGGAACTTAGATTGGACTAAATTTGGCATCAGAATCAGTTTGGTATTTTCTGAAGTAATGTGTTGTTGATCATTAGGTTACTTTATACTAGCTCAATGCCCGACACGTTGGCCGGCTTTAGGGATGGCAATAATATCCGTAACCGTGGATATCCGCCCGAATCCGACTTAATTGGGTAGGGTAAAACTCGAACCCGAAGGATTTTTAGTGGGTATGGGTAAACCCCGAACCCGAATATTATGAGTAATGGGTGGGCATGGTTTTCTCGCTATCCAACTCGAACCCACCCGATTATACACATGCATATGTATTTTGTCTAGAAATCATCAATATTTTCTCTAAAATATTTTATATTTAGCATATAAATATAATATTTTTATGAAATTGTGTTGTTTTAATTAATTGTCTTCATTCTAGTGAATTATTGTCGTACTTTTCGTCTTACATAACGTGAGAATACGTGTAAATATTAACATATTAGTTAAAGTTATAAAGAGAAACTATTATTCATGGATAACCGTGGATACCCGAAACCCGAACGAGTATGGTTATGGTTTGAATTTTCTACCCGTTTCTTATGTGAGTATGGGTATGGGTAAAACTCGAGCTACTTTGTGTAGGGTAACGGATATGCACTATCCGTCCCCGACCCGGCCCATTGCCATCCCTAGCCGGCTTATTAATAATTTCCATACAATGTATTTATAATTTGAAATATAATTTATTTAATTATAGAAGGTAAAGTAAAAGTTTGTTTGTTGCATGAACGATAAAAACGCGCGAAAAGTTAAACTTGGAATTAATGTAAGACATATCATGATAGAACAGAGAGAAAAAAAGCTGGCCTGAATTAGCTGCGGCCTGCGAGTGCGAGAAAAAGGGAATAGGAGGGACGTGGAACGGGGAGAGGGGAGATGGAAATTAATTAGTCTCAGCCGCAAACTAACCGATAAAATATATATACATATATATATATAACTAATAAATCGAAGGTGGCGAAGTTACAAATGCAACCTTCCGCAGTGTGCGGGTTAAAAAGCAGGAGCTGATGTGGCAGATTTTTTTCCTTGACACCTTATATTTATTTGTAGATGATTATCCAGTTTGGTAATGAAATTTCTCTTATTCTTTGTTCGATAGCTATTTCTTTCTATCATTCTTTACAAGTACTTCGATACAAGTTTTTTCGTTGGGTTTAGCATTTATATATAATTCCATGCCATGTGAATAGGAATCTGTCGTCTGAATATCTGATTTTCCTTGAACCCCTTGATTTGTAGTATGATTGGAGTGTATGAAAACATCTGGAATCCAAAATAGTAATACAAGTTATAATTATCAGATGTTTCTGAAAATTAGTCTAGGTTTAATAGTTTCTAACAACATTATGTGGATGGTTGTTCACCACGTTTAATGCATTGTCGCACCGTACGCTGTTAGAACTCAATTTCGTTCTCTCTCACTGAATGTCAGGTCAATATTTTTTTGCTGCATCCCGTGCCACCAAGATCTATTTCAACATCTATTGTCCTGACCTACACCCTCTCTTAAACCAGTAAGTCTGATAATTGTCCATTTGGATAATGAAACACATGCATTTCAATTGATTATCGTTTTGTTTCATGTCACGACTTCTATATGGTTATATGCTTCATTTGGTGGTTTTGCGTTGGCTTTTGGGAAGCTGGTGCATTTTGTTCCGTGTCCTGACTTCTATTTTGTTTTGCCTAATTGGGATCTCATTTTCTGTCCAGTTTCTAAAGGTTATTGTGTGGACTTCTCGCATGCTATAAGTGTTGTTGCCCTCTGTTAATATGATCATTACGGAATTTCATCATGGTGAGTCAAGTACTCAACCTTTACGCATACAGGCTGTTGCATCTCTTGAAGTAGGTATGTGTGAAATAGTAAGCAGTACTATTGCCAGTTAGAATGTTTTTAAATGGGGAGTGCTCAGTATATTGTCGTTGCTGAATCGATAGGTGAACTGAATTGCCAGCCACCACATTTTGTTGACTCTGGCCAACCACAACAAAATAGACCATTTGCTCCTTTTGTGTTTGTTTATATTTAACTGTAGTAATGTAGCTGAATTTGGGAGCCTTATTATGCGCTTTCCTAATCTGGTTGTAATGCAGGGAAAGGGAGAGCCATCTTTTATCATCCAGGAGACACTTATCAAAGGTGTGTCATGTCCGTAGAAGATCAAGAAGTTTATGACAAAGGTACATATGGTAATATCAAATTACTTTGTGAGGATACCTTGCTGTGATTTGTGCTTATGGTATTAATTTGTGAGGATACCTTGCTGTGATTTGCAGAAAGTTGTCCCAAGCTACTCGGCGAAGAAGGCAGCTTATTCTTCAAAATAAAGAGACGTAGGAGGCGATATGAGTCCAAAATTTGCACAGTTGTATATTCACGATTTAGACAATGAGGTACAAAATCAATTGAGCTTCTACTCATCTGATCCTGAGAAGATCCATTACGTGCTTCAATTGTTGAAGATTTGCAAGAAATGTTTGATACACATAATATTTTGGTTCATTATTTTCGGTCTGCAAGAGACAGAATAATTGAGGATGGTGTGGAGGAGCTTCAGTTGAAGTTATTGGCAAAACGTGAAATCAATAGTAGGGAATATGATTTACCTTCGGCAAGTGAGATAGCAGCATTGATTGTTGATGAGACAGGAGAAGAAACTTTTTCACCGGATATTGTTGTTCAACAGCGGAGTACTGAAATGGAGAGAATTAGTCCATATCATCCCAGTCTAATGGCGTTACAATATCCTGTTTTGTTCCCGTATGTAGAGGACAGATGGCATCCCAGTATTTTCTATTCAGCAACTACAGATTTGGTTGGTGCAGGAGACAAAATGGTAACTCAATGTGATTACTATTGTTATCGATTTCAGACTAGGCTTGCTGGGTCAAATTCTTTGTTCCTTGCTGGAAAGTTATTTCAACAATATGTTGCTAATGCTTATGCTCTTATAGAGGCTGAACGCTTGGATTGGATGAGAAACAATCAATCAAAGTTGAGAGGACATCATTACCAAGGGTTGTTAAATTCTTATTTGCGTGGTGATAACGATGTGAAATTGTCTGGGAAGCCTATGATTTTGGCTGCAACTCATACAGGTAGTCCAAGGTACAAATATGAAAATTTTCAGAATGCTATGGCCATTTGAAAATGGTTGGGATACCCAGATTTGTTTATACATTCACCTGCAACTCTAGTTGGCCTGAGATACAGAATATGGTTGATATTATTCGAGAATTTACTGGAAAAGATCCAAACCGTGCTGATGTTATAGCAAGGGTATTCAGAATCAAGGTCGATGAGTTTATGATGGAGATCAGGAAGAAGGAAATATTCGGCAAGATAAATGCATGTATGTATATAAATTATTTCCAAACTTGTTTTTATTTAAAATTGTTATACGGCTAATTACTGTTCCTAAAACTTGGTATTCTGTGCTTATTGATTATTCACAGATGTAAAAGCAATTGAATGGCAAAAGCATGGTCTCCCTCATGCACATACATTGTTATTCCTTGCCGAGGAAAATAAGTTTCATGGACCTTCTGATATTGATTCAATAATTTCTGCTGAAATACCTGATCCTAATCTTGATCCTGAACTTTATGCTATTGTTACTACATCTATGATGTATGGACCTTGTGGTGCACTGCGTCCAAATAATTTATGCATGAAGAATAGGCGTTGTAGCAAGCATTATCCAAAGGATTATTGTACGTAGACTAATCCGATGGATCCTACTTCTTGATGAGTTTGATATGGAGATAAAGGACAAAAAGGGGGTTGAAAACCTTGCGACTAACCACCTCTCACGATTTGAAGGACCGGGAGGGGGAAACTCCCATAGAGATTTAAATGACACCTTCCCTGAAGAACGGTTATTCGCCCTCGCCGCTGTAGAGAGTGCCACACCGTGGTTTTCCGACTTCGCGAATTATCTGGTTGGAGGGCAACTGCCCAAGGGAATGAATACACAGGAGAGAAGGAAGTTCTTTTTTGACCTCCGATGCTACTTCTGGGATGATCCCCACCTCTTTCGGATTGGGGCCGACTGGGTCATTCGGAGGTGTATACCTGAGAAGGAAATGATGGATATCCTAAACCACTGCCACACGGGACTAGCTGGAGGCCATCACGGAGGCAACCGAACTGCAATGAAGGTGCTCTAGTTGGGTTTCTATTGGCCAAGCCTTTTCTGGGACGCCTACAAATTTGTCAGCCATTGTGACAGCTTCCAAAGGACAGGTAATGTTTCTAACCGAAACGAGATGCCTCAAATAATTTCCATTACCTGTGAGATTTTTTATGTTTGGGGCATCAACTTTATGGATCCTTTCCCCTCGTCTTTTGGTAAAAAAATACATACTTGTGGCCGTAGACTAAGTTTCGAGGTGGGTTGAGGCTCAAGCTCTCCACACCAATGAAGCAAGACGAGTCTGTGGATTCCTTAAAAAGTTGTTTTCAAGGTTCGGGACCCCAAGGGCCATCATTAGCGACCGAGGAACCCATTTTCAGAGGCAATTCGATAGACTCCTCGATCGCTATGGTGTTACCCACCGGGTGTCAATGGCCTATCATCCCCAGAATAGTGGACAAGTTGAGTTATCAAATAGGGAACTAAAAAGGATACTAGAAAAGACCATGATCAATCCCGCGAGGATTGATCGGCAAAACTCGATGATACTCTATGAGCATACCGCACGGCCTACAAAACATCAATAGCCATCTCGCCTTACCAATTTGTGTATGGCAAGGCTTTCCGCTTGCCTGTAGAGCTAGAGCTTAAGGCTTTTTTGGCCACAAAGCTATTGGTATGGACCCTATTTTGTTTGGAAATGAATGAAAGTTGCAAGTGCTTAAACTCAAGGAGTGGCGTCTCCAAGCCTATGAGAACACCAAATTTACAAGGAAAAGACAAAGCGCCTGCATGATGCTCGACTGAAAGGAGGGAAGGATTTCCAACCGGGAGACCAAGTACTCTTATACAACTCCCGGTTGCGATTGTTCCCCGAGAAGTTAAGGTCGAAATGGTCGGGCCCGTATGTGGTAACACAAGTGTTCCCATACGGGGTGGTCGAGATCTCCCACCCAGAGAAAGGAACTTTCAAAGTGAATGGACACCGCCTGAAACATTACCTCGGAGGAGAGGTAATTCCTCAAAAGGAGGTGGTGTTCATACAAGATGCCTTATTTGGAGTCTCCGTCTAGCTAACGACATTAAAGTAGAGCTTGTTGGAAGCCAACCCAATGAAGGTTAGCAAGTTTGTCCTACTACTACTATCGTATTGTGCTGTGTAATAACCTCTCCTTGAGCGAGTCGTATTGTGTTTGTGGATGTGTGTTTTTGTCTTCTCCTTGAAGCTCCAAATCTCCTACTCAGGAAACAATTCCAACTTTCACTCACCAAGCAAAGCGGTAACGTCGTTCTACCCCTATCTTACGCCATTGAGGGCAATATCGAGCTTAAGTGTGGGGGGTAGTCTATTATTATGCTTGTGTGAGTATAATTGATGCTTGGAGCCTTGATGTATGCCCAAATTTTAAAAATTTGTGGGCTCCAAGCTATGTTTGCATGATTAAAGTGGTCGGTTTGTAGGAGAATCTTGTGGTTATTGGCATTGACCTTGAATTGTTGCATGTGATCGAGTATGTCTTACGATAATGACTGAAAGGTGCATTGGGATAGTGCAAAGGTTTAGTTCTCATGTGTGCAAAAATGAATGGATCTTTTGACTTGATTACTTGTTGATTACAAATGCCATGCATGTTGCTTTGTGAATTGGAATAGATGGTTTGGTGACTTGGTAGCCATGTGAGTTTTGAGCCGATCATTTTCTTCTTGTGTGCTTAGATCCCTCTTACCATGGCGAGTAACATCACATTTGTCACTAGTGAGTATGATGGAGACATAGGATTAGTCCACGACCAAATGTTGATTGTCCCGAAATGATTTATCCACTAGTCAACCCCTTTGAGCCTTGTGACTTTGGGGGTCGTTCTCATGTTAGGAGCTTTGTGCTTGTAAGCTTAATGGTGCTTGATAGAACGACCCCCAATCCTTTTTTCTTGTCTATACGTGTATAGTCCTTGTGTCCCGGAGCTCTCGCTTTTGAGTTCCATTGAGGTTCTACATAGGAGGATTGTGTGCGGTTCTTGCTAGGAACGAAAGTGAAAGGAAGAGTAGTGTTGGAGTGAGTTCTTAAAAAGAGAAAGAGGAAGAGCTCTTAAGGGAAGTTCATGATGGGTGATAGTTTACAAGGGAGAAGCAAGGTTTTTGGCCAATGCTAGAGGCCATTGTTTGTAAGGAAGGCTCTTAGTCAAAACCATAGAACCTTCGGTTTTAGGGTGAAGTTGTAGGACCTCATGATGTGTTTGCCACCACCCAAAAGCCTTTTCCCCATGTCCAAGACAATCTCCAGTCATTTGAACTTGTGTCTTAGACCTCCGGACAAGTTAGTGATGACAACCATTCCGTGAACTCTAGCATTTAGAGGTTGCCGCTGTGGTGTTGAGATGATAGGGACAAGTGTTGATGATTGTGCACATTCTTTGCACCAAAATGTCCCGACCCCACTGGTCAAGAGAGTGAGTGATTCATTTTTGTTTTGCACGTCATATCATACCCCGGTGAGGACCTTTATTGCCCATCTGTTTTTTCCTTGGACTTGAACTCTATACATGGTTAGTTTTGGTTGGTAAGTGATCTTGTTCAAACTTGCATCCAATCATGAACAAGGTGAGAACTTTTCATTTGTCCGTTTCTAGTAGCCTCGAATGTCGTTTGTGGTGGATGTCGGTATTGCTTGTTACGGTCCTTGTGTTAATTGCCAATAGCCATTTGAGATTCCCGACTTTGTGCCCTTTGATTTGTCCCCAAAGAATTTTGATAGGTTGCGATATTACCTCGTGTGAAATGGTTTGCTTGGGGACAAGCAAATGTCTAAGTGTTAGGGAGTGATTCGGGCCTAATTGCACACATTTTATCCTCATTTCCCTGGGCGTTTGTGGCATTTGAACTCCTAAAAGGTCGGGTTTACGCTAGGTTTTGTGCGTTTCAGTGTGTTTTCAGGATCTAATAGGTGAAACCAGCCCCAGAGTCGAAAGTCAGAAGGAAAGGAGCAAAGACCGGGCAAAGAGGGTCATTCAGGCAATGTTCACGGTTTTACATTGGAGTTCACGGTCTCCTAAGGCCGTGAGCTAAAGTCATAAACCGTGAACCGCGAAGCGTCCATGGCGATTTCTAAAGTTACTGACGCAAGGTGAGTTCACGGTCAACAAGACCGTGACTCAAGTGAGTGAAGCAGTGCGTTTCGACACAGCACTCCGAGTTCATGGACGCGTTGACGAGTTCACGGCCGTGAATTGAGCCCGATCCCAGTATAAAATGTGAGCTGAAAGAAAGAGAGAGGGAGAGCCCAAGAGTGAGAAAGCACCTTCTTCTTCAGATTTTAGAGAGAGAAATGATGAACCAAAGGAGAAAGAAGGCTGTGGTTAGCTCCAATTGGTGAATTGGGAAGAATCTCCTCAAGATAAGATCAACACAAGATCAAAGGAGAGTGGAGGCATCTCCATGATGGTTTCTACTTGTTTCTTCTATGTTCTTCCCCTTTCTAGCATGGAGTAGTTACCTTTTTCACTTGGGTGTTGTGAAACCCTAACGATTTGCCATGTTGTTGTAGTGTGAATTGTATGATTGTTTATGGGTGTTGTTTAATTTAATGATTGAGGTATTATTCATGATGGTTGTGCATGTTTTTGCTTAGCAATCTAATTGGCCATTCTAACCTAGGTTAGAGGGGAAACCCCCCTTTCCAAAGAAGCTCAATTGAGTTGGGATTCCTTGGGCTTTTCAAGCAACCTACCTAGGTTAATGTAGGGCAAACCTCTATCTCGAATTAAACGACAAGGTTAATTGTGATTAAGCCGTCCAACCATCGGTTTGAGGGAGAAGGTAAGTCAACCATCAATTGCCTTAACCAAGAGGGCTATTCTAGTAGCCTATAATGTATCCCTTGGTTTGGCAATTGAGAGTGTGGTCTCCAACCATAAGTTGCACCTCCTAACGTTTCATGATTGCCTCGCCCATAACGTCCCATTCGAGTCCACGTGCTAATGGTAGTAGTTAGGGGGAAGCAACATCCGAGTGATCGTTCTCATCTAGAGCTTTCAAACTATAACACCCCGACCTTTGGGTTCAGGTTCGACCAAAATACGTGAACAGTTGGATTGACGGTTACGTATGAAGGGTGACATCCATGGATTAGGAACAACAATAATAATAACTATTATTATTTCATCATCATCATC